AATAAAATCCGTTAAAATCATAAAAATACCGAATGTAGCTGTTATATTATGGTCTGTACGACGACATGGATCTGCATGGGTAACATTTGTCATAAGCCATTACAATGTTCAAATGCGAAACTTAAAAAAAAAACGGTAATATTGTAACTAAAATCATCAAAATACCGAGTATAGGGAGGAACGTTATATGGGGTCTCTACGAAGACGTGGACCTGTACAGACAATTTTCTGTCTTAGGCTGTTCTATTCATTACGAACTTCAAATGCTGAATTTGAAACAATTCCGGTGAACAATGTAGCAAAAATCATCAAAATACCGAATATCGGGAGGTACCGTTACATGGGGGCTATACCAAAACGTGGACCTACATGTCCCATTTTCAATACCAAAAGTCCTGCAGACATAACACATATTTGAGTAAAATTTTCTCAATCTTCTTAAATTCTCTAGGAAGCTAGGGTGATTTCCACAGACGGATAGACAGACGGACATTGCTAAATCGACATAGAAGGTTATGCTGATCAAGAATATATGTACATTGTCTAAAATGTATAATTCGAGGTGTTACAAACGGAATACCCTCCATACTATGGTGGAGGGTGTAAAAATAAAATGATTGAAAATTAATTCCAGCGTATCGACCGAAGCCCACAAATTTTCATTTTTTGTAATTGATCCCATTTCATTAGAATCCAACACACTTCTATTGGAGACCCACACTACAACTAAACTTACTGCAATAGACGGGAAAGGCACATTGAAAACTCACCTGCAAAGGTTTTCTCTCGTATTCCTATATTCACGCACAACTATCACTACAAGTGAGTAGGTAAATGAACATTCCACTTCTTAAAATATCTTTCATTAGAATTTTTAAATACCTTTGACTTCAATGTCACGAAAAGAACATTTGGATATGTTCTTAGGTATTCTCTTGAATGGAAAATTATATATTTCTATACAAATTTCAAAATAATATGCCCCTAAGGAATGACAATGACACGAATGGGCTATTGAAGGAAAATGGTATCAGGGAAGATATAATAGACATTGTTTCAAAGTCATGTGGCTATAGTTCAATACTAGCATTCTTAAAATTTGATTATAAATACCCGCCCTTGCTCTAGCCACAAAGTGATTTTGAATTTCAGCAAAAGGTGGTTACATATAAATTATTAAAATACAATAACCCATTTTTTAATACAAACATAAAACTCTGTATAGTCAAGAGCTCACATTCAAAGATTGACACTCTCACAAACACATCCGCATGTACCGTATGTATGAATAAGCAATTAAAAATATAATAACAGTCACAACTGTAAGTGACAGCTCGTTTAAGGCCAAATAAAGAATGCCACCGAAAATAAGTTTTCCACTATTCGCCACACACTCATTCGTTCAATCACTCAACTACTCCAACAACAAACGTCATGAAATGAAATGGAAATTGCTATCTAATTTATTGAACATTTTAGCGAATAAATAATGAGTAAGGCTGTGGAAAATTATACGTCGGCACGACGAAAAACAAATTAAAAACTCGAATGTCAGGACACAAGTCGGACATAAAATTAAGAAATACCAACATAATACAAAAAACAGCACTGTCCGAACACTGTAAAATACACATTGACGATGTAAAAATACTGCAAACGGAGAATAATTACAACAAGAGACTAACACTAGAGATGCTCCACATAAACAGTCTCCCAACAACAACAAGAATAAACAGCAAAACAGACACTGACAACACAGCCTACTGCTACAGGCATCTCACACGGGGTAGAGATCGTGCAATAAATAAATACTAATCAGTGCAATAATGTAACTTGACGGAGTAGAAACACTACGCTAGCTTTAAGTTAATTATAAAAATTCAATTTAGTATTTATACACTTGTAAGCGATCTTTGTTCTGTGCTAATATACCTGTTAGTATTAGAATAAACTGTGATATAGTTAATAAGTCGTACTTTGTTTATTACTATATATTATTTTTTATTGTAGGACTATTTTCCTGAAGATGAAATTCATTGAATTTCGAAATATTGGAAGATTAAAATAAATATAACAACAAAGACCACAAGCTCGAAAAACACTTGTTTCATTAAAAATAAATTTCTTTTTAGGCAATGTCATTATTGCGTGATTTCAGGCTGTAAATATTATGGAATTTAGTGGAAGTTTTCTTTCTTCCGTTTTACACGTTAGACTATTTTAGGTAAATAGATAACCGACAGCATAAACAGTAAAGCAAGTTGAATTTCATGACAGAGAAACTACCTTATGTAACGGAAGTTTATTTTTACTTTCTAGATACTTAATAACATATAATTATTTGTATTGAGACATTTTTAGAAGAAGAGTTTTGGAAATTAGCAAATAGAAAAAAGAAGGAGAAAACAGTGGCAGTACGTGAAATGACCACTCAATTGCAATTGTAATTAAGGAATAAATAAAAATGTGAATCCCTAAAACTGGAAATTGAATATTTTAT